AAATGCTGGTAAACAAACAAACAAAATTTAAATAAATAAATAGTTTGGGCACAATGACCAAAATCACATTGTGTAGCTCCACCAGGGTAATGGGGGTGTTATGACAACCATCACACTGGTAAACAAACAAACAAACAAATAAAATTTAATGGCATAATGACCAAAATCTCATTGTGTAGCTCCACCAGGGTAATGGGGTGTTATGACAACCATCACTGGCCTATTAGTGCTAGAATCCAACCTTTAATTTTGGATTGTATGTGACTTGTCTCATATGCAAATCACATGCTACTCACAACTGAAGAAGAATCTCTTTAATTTGTGGCAATGTGCACTGCCATTGATACTATTTCCACTAAGCTGGTGAAGTTACACAAAGGGATAGTGGCTACTAAGAAGTACATAAGAAAATGAGATGAGCCCTGCTGGATCAGGCCAAGGGCCCATCTAGTCCAGCTTCCTGTATCTCACAGTGGCCCCATCAGATGCCTCTGGGAGCACACAAGACAACTAGATACCTGTCTCCTGATACCCCTCCCTTGCATTTGGCATTTTGAGGTCCCTTCCTTTTAAGCCTGGAGATTATACATCCCCAACATGGCTTGTAACCTGCGATGGACTTTTCCTCCAGAAATCTGTCCAATCCCCTTTTAAAGGCATCTAGGTCAGATGCCATCACCACATCCTGTGGTCTGTTCTCAGTCTCCCAACACTCGATTAGAGTGGATGTCCCCTGGTTCTGGTATTGCGTGAGAGGGAAAAGAGCTTCCCTCTATCCACTTTATCCATCCCCTGCATAATTTGTAAAGATGCTTCCAGTCTCCTCCTTGAGGCATCAAGAAAGAAAGAGACTGGGAAGTGATGTCACCCATATCGTTCAATCCTAGAATTCTAAAGTGTGGTTTAGTATTACCTCCAAATTGGGCTACCATTATTTATGCCAATGGCTTTCAGCCTTTGCTCTCTAGATGCTTTGAGGTTACCAGGAGCCTTACCCAGCAAGGTTAGTGGCCAAGGATTCTGGGGGCTGAGGTCCAAATATTTGGAGGCCTCTCAAAACATTGAGACTGCTGATTTATATCATAGTTTTTTTTGGGGGGTGTACTCTGACGCTTTGCACATATATAACCCTAACATTGCCTCTCACTTTACTGGGGAGTACGGCCCTTTCATTTGCGAGCAACATCCTATTGGAAAGAGATATGTCCACTGGTAGTCGTCAGTACACCGTTCATTGTTCTTATTTTTCTGTGGTAGAAAGCAGGAGTTATTTATATTGGTTAAAAAATTATGGTTTTGTTTACTTTTGTGTGGGAGCTGTAGTACTTTAGAGGTCTCTGCATTATTAATATGACACCCATTAATACTGATGACTGAAACTCACAAGGAGTTTAATTCCTGTTTCACCCTGACAATTTTATCACTGATATAACTCATGAAACTACTATTTGATGTGTCCATGATTCTTTTGTGTCTACACTCCACCAGGTGCCATTTGCTGTTATGAAACAGTATTTTTACATGAGACTTTAGGATGTTCTTTACTGGTGGTGTGGTAGAGAATCTAACTATCTCTGGCCTCTTGGGCAGAAAGTGGTAGTCGGAACCATTCTTTTGAAATATTTCCTGTGTACTCTTTTCTCAGTGCAAAAATGTAGAACAGTGTCTATGTCTTTCACATTCCTTTTATTATAATAAAATTACTGAGTTGCCTTTTGATCTCAATGCAAAATATAATGGGGCAGAAGAGTAAAAAGATCAGATCAGTACTCTAGAAATAATTCAAGGAAGAGAATGCTATAATGTGGGTGCCATTGCAGAGAAGGATATAGTCCACAAGACAGCCATTAGATTTCTTCTCACTATAGAAACAGAACACAGAATGATGATGTTAGTCCATACTGATGTGGCTGCAATACTGCAATGGTACAGAAATACAGAATAATAATGGTATAAACCAGTACTATATCACTATATTGATAGTAATGGTACACAATTAACTTTGATGTTAATATGGCTCCAGTCCTTCTGTTGTCAGAAACAATGTATTGGGGCAGTGGTCCCCAACTTTGGGTCCCCAGACATTCTGGTACTATAACTCCCAGATGCCCTCCCCAACACAGCTAGTGTTGAAGGCATCCTTTTGAGGTGTGTCTAATAAGTACCCACCTCACTGGGGAGAAAAGTATTGTTTCCATAATAATGTTGTAAACCACTTAGAGTGTGCTTTAGCACTGTGGGGTAGTATATACATTGAAACAACAAAAACAACAACATATTTCCATGTTGCTGTTTTTTCAGGAATGCCAACTGGCATGCAGACTGTATGAGGTTTACTTGTTTCAGCAACTGCTTCTAGAACCCCTATGCCAACTGATGTATTCTGGGAATAGTACAGTGGTGCCTCGCATAGCGAGGTTAATCCGTTCCGGATTAACCTTCGCTATGCGAAAACATCGCTAAACGGGTATAAAAAAGCCATAGAAACGTATTGAACTTCGTTCAATGCGTTCCTATGGCTTGAAAACTCACCGTTAAGCGATGTTTCTCCATAGCGCCGCCATTTTCGCGCCCTTGGTAAGTGAGGGCAGGGCGCGAAAATGCGGCGCGGACCTTCCGGCGGCCATTTTGGAACCGCCGATCAGCTGTTCTCCCCCGCTTCGTTATGCAAAGATCGCTAAGCAAATCGCTTAGCGATCATCGCAAAGTGAAAAATCGCCATAGGGGCCATCGCTGAGCGAATGCTCCAGCGATGACCCGGACCCCCTCGCTATGCAAATTCATCGCATAGCGAAGCACTCGCTAAGCGAGGCACCACTGTAGTTCAAAAAGTAGTTCTTCAAAGCTCTGTTCTGGAGTTAGTCCACAGCGAAATTCAGAAACCTAATTGCCAAGAACAACTCTATGGAGAAGAATGTATTGGGCTGCACAGGCTTGTCCATATATTGTATATCACCGAATGCTTTCTTAAACAGAAACAAAGAACAAAGAAAAATCAAGGAAGAATACTTTCTGCATAATTGAATTAAACCTTGCCTAGTCAAAGGGGCTGAGCTCTGTAGCAAAAACACCTAGAGAAGCCATAAAAATGTGAACAAGGTTTGCTAAACCAAACTTCATCTTTTGTTAACCTGGAGAGAAAACAGGAGATGCAACACACCTAGTAATTTCTTTCTAAATCAGTTTTAAAAATGCATGGGATGCAAGTCAGATTGTCTTATGCCTCTCCCAAATTCCTACACCTAAATGTCTCTCCATTAATATTTATATGAGGCATCAGAACATTTTTTCTGCATTACAGTAATCAAAGGAAACACTATTTTTTCTTCCTTCACTGTCTTTCCTAAGTTGTGTTGGAGAAAGAAAAATAACACTGTTCAAACTTGCAAATATAAATTCTATCTCAATATTAATGGTCCCCCCCAAATGCTCAGTGATCTTGATGACACT